TTGGACCATCTTCTGCTTTCCCAAGCCATAGCAGAGAGCTGGATGGGAAGTGGAACAGCCAGGACTCAAACCGGTGCCCATATGGGGTGCTGGCACTGCAGGCAGTGGCTTTACCTACTATGCCACAGCACCAGCCCCAGTTTCACTTTTACAAGATGGAAAGTTCTGGACATGGACAGTGGTGAGGGTTACACAACACTGTAAATGGCCTGCATAGCCCTGACCCCTGACCCCCACATCTTTAAATGGTTAAGATGTAAATGTTATGCTATGTGTATATTTGTAATATGTATTTATTTATTTGAAAGGCAGAGTGCCAGAGAAAGAGAGAAAGGAGAGAGAGAGAGACATCTTCCATCCTCTGGTTCACTCTCCAAATGGCTGAACAACCAGGGTAAAGCCAGGAGCCAAGAGCTCCATCCTGGTCTCTCACAAGGTGCAGCGGCCCCAGCGTTTGGAGGATCTTGTACTGCTTTCCCAGACTGCAGCAGGAAGCAGGATTAGAAGCAGCACAAGCAGGCCTCGAGCCAGCGCTCCAGCTTGCAAGGCCAGCGTCACAGGCAGTGGCCTAACCCACTGGACCACAACAACAGGCCCCGGCTCCCTGTATTTTGCCACAATACAGAGAAGGAAGGCACCAAGCCGTGGAAATTATTTGTAACGCATGATAGTCAGCAGTTCCTACCCCTGACATATAAAACGCTGTCAAGAATCCACAAGACAAACACAAACACATCTGCTCAAAGAAAAAGATACAAACACAAACTCAAAAAGAAGGAATTCAAAGAAGGACTGGAAACATTCAAAAATATCTCACTTCACAACTCCTAAAATAAATGAACAGGAATACAAAAAGGGATATAATTTTTGCCCTTTCAACATGGATGAGTATTTAAGAGATTGTCAGTATCAGTATCCTGGCTTGCTTAGTAGATGGGAGAATGGGCTGTCTCATCCCCTAACAGCCATGGAACAAGTAAAGAAAGCAATTCATACCCGTGTTTGCAATCACATCTCTTCAACCAAGAAACGTCACTTTCAGGAGTTCAGCTTAACAGGAGAAAGTAAACATACAAAATATTAATTGCAAAGTGATTTCCAAAAACTATGGCCTGACGGTGATCAAAAGGCCCAGTCAAAAAGAATCAGCGGGCCGGCGCCGTGGCTCACTAGGCTAATCCTCCATCTTGCGGTGCCGGCACACTGGGTTCTAGTCCCGGTCGGGGCGCCGGATTCTGTCCCGGTTGCCCCTCTTCCCGTCCAGTTTTCTGCTGCGGCCAGGGAGTGCAGTGGAGGATGGCCCAGGTGCTTGGGCCCTGCACCCCATGGGAAACCAGGAGAAGCACCTGGCTCCTGGCTCCTGCCATCGGATCAGCGCGGTGCGCCGGCTGCAGCGCGCCAGCCGCGGCAGCCATTGGAGGGTGAACCAACGGCAAAAGGAAGACCTTTCTCTCTGTCTCTCTCTCTCACTGTCCACTCTGCCTGTCAAAAAAAAAAAAAGAAAGAAAAGAAAAAGAAAAAAAAAAAGAATCAGCGAATTCCATCGGTAGGAGTGTGAAAGAATTAAAGTCCCCTCCCCAACACACACCAAGAAGTAAAAAGAGAGCAGGGGACCGGTTTTGAGGCACAGCAGGCTGAGCGTCTCCTGGGACACCGACACTCCATTCGGGGGCGCCAGTCCCAGTCCCAGCTGCTCGCTCCCAGCCAATGCTCCTGGGAAGGCAGCAGATGATGGCCCGAGAGCTTGGGCCCCTGCCACTCACGTGCCAGACCCGGATGGAGCTCCAGGTTCCTGCTTTTGGCCTAGTCATAGCCATTGCAGCCATTCCGCGAGTGAACCAGGGGATGGAAGATCAGTATCTCTCTCTAAAACTGCCCTTTAAGTAAATAATTTTTTTAAAGAGCTCAAGAGAGATTGAGATTATAAAAGAGTATATATGCCAGAAACGCATTTTGCAGCATATATTTACATAGAAAAAGGCTGAGAGGGTGCTATGGCAAAAAGTTACAGGACTCACCTCTGCAGATTGTCTTAATTTTTCACGTTTATACTCAAATGGGTGCGTACGACCACGTTCACGGGCTAAACGTGTATCACCCTGAGGTCCCTGGGCGCCGCTGACTGGGCGAGATCCAAGCCAGAGAAACAAACCTCCCGAATGGATTCTGGCCCATGTCCGGGCCAGCGGAATCCTCAATCACCCATCTCAACAGCTGCCCACGTCCATCTCCAGCCCAGAGCCCAGCAGAAACCTCTCCTGGAGATTTGGCGAGATTTCTGCCCTGGGCCATGTCCCTGTCAGCAGCCAGCAGAGATCAGCGCCACCAAAATTCTCTTCATTTGCTTTCTTGCTCCTTTATCTGCAGAGATGGGAGCCCAAGGGCTGGAGGGTAGGGAACACAGACAGGTGGTTTCCCGGGGGCTCTTCAAAAACGCTCAGAACCTCTGCTCCCATCTGCACGGCAGACTCTGGGCCCCTGGTTGCCATTCTGCGTACCTCAGTTTCTCCCTCTGTGAAATGGGCTGAGAAGTCTTATTTAGACTCCTTCCCGGGAGGATGGACCACAAAGACCAGCCCAGATGCACGTACCACATTCCTGCGGACACCCTGTCCACCCCTGCCCAGGAGGAGACTCAGCCTCGGGCCTGGAGGACCATGCACTCAGCAGCTCGATGTGCCCACTTCCGCTGGCTTCTGAACCCCTCTCTGGTGTCCCCAACTCCAGCCCAAGCCAGGGTCAGCCCAGTCCTTGCAGTCCCCGTAGCCAGCTCCCCTGCGTGCGTTTTAATAGCCCCGAACTCCATCTGGAAGCGGAGAAATGACCCTGATGGGGCTGGGCGCAGGCTCGGCTCAGCGTCTGCATGGAGACTGCAGGAAGGTGACACGCACACGGCTCCCATGGGGGTAGTCAGAATGTGTGCCAGGGCACCACCCCCCTCCTCTCTCCAACCAGGAGGCTTTGAGCCAAGGACCAGCAAGAGGGGCCCGCTCAGCCTCCCCAGCGCTCAGAGCAGGAAGCCCTGGGAAGGTGCAGGGTCAGAGGCCCCACCTGGCTTGCCCGGGCCCCAGTGCAGCCTGAGCTGGGAGCTTTGTAAATCTCCCCAGGCGGTTCTCAAGTGCCATGGGTTGGGCTGAGTCCTACCCTTGAGCTACACCTTGGATCAGAATTTCTTCCCACGTGTGGGGGAAGGTGGCTTGCCTCCTGCTACAATACCGGCCATATATGACTTGAGCCTTGGAGCTGGCCTCAGCTGCACCGTCAGGGGGTCCTCCGTGGCCCCGCCACCGCCTGGCACAGGCTAGGGGCTAAATGAACACTGGGGGAAACGAGCTATGTGAGTGCATGAATGAATGAAGTTCGAATGAGTGAATCCCACCCAGTCCACCTCTCCCGTCCCCTGATCAGTTGCCCCTGGAAGAGAACAGTCCGCCCATGACCCCTTGTGGGCAGCTCTTTGACAATGTCCCCAGGTGCTGCCGACCGCAGATCCAGAGACCCCACCCCCACCCCCACCCCACAAGCCCAGCCTTGGCTCCAGCTCAGGGCACTGAGTCGCCAGCTCACCATCCGGGCCCATCTTAGCACAGCATCCCAGTCCCTGCAACCCAGAGCCCACACACTCGGCCCAGTCCAGATCCCACAGCTGCCACCTCCTAGCTGGGCGACCCCAGCACGAGTCACCCCTGGACCTCTCCCTGCCTCCGCTTCCTCCAGTGCGCAATGGAGCCACAGCATGGGCTGCCTCGTAGGAAAATCAAGAAGAGCCTTAGCCCCCGCCTTCTTTCTTTTCTTCTTCACCAAGTCCTTACAGAGAGTCCCTGTCTGAACCCCTGGGCGGACCGGCACAGGGGACCAGGGCCGGGTCTTCCCCGGAGCGCTCCGCACCCGAGGACACAGGCCTCAGCCGCTGCGCCTAGGACCAGTCGTCTCCCACAGCGCAGCTCTCGGCGGATCCCTCCTGTATCCGGCCCGGGGCCCCTGACCCCCCACGCCCCTTCCCGGGCACTCCAGGCCTGCGTGTGTGCGTGCGTGTGTGTGCGCGCGCGCCTGTGTGTGTGTGTGTGTGTGCGCGCGCGCGCGCGTGCCAGGGAAGAGGCGCCGCAGGTTCCGCGCGCGAAGGCCGAATCCTTCCTCCTCCTGCGCGAGCCGCGCGGGCGCTACTGTGGGTGGCAAGGCGGCAGGGCCAGGCGCAGCTCCCCGGCCGAGCGAGGCCGCTGCCCTCTGCGGCAGACGCCGGTGCGCGCTCCCCGCTCCCGCGCGGGGCTCGCCGGGCAGCCTGCGCGCCCTCCCGGTGCAGCATGCGGGCGCTGTGACGTTCTCGGATAAATGCCGTGTAACTGTGTAGGCGAATGGGAGCTAAAAATAAGAACGGAAAATCTATCATTAAGGTATCATTGCGCCAGCGCAGCTATTTGAAGGTTCCCATGGCCCCCGGCGCCCGCGTTTGAAGCCCGCCTGCAGGCTTTGGGGGCTGTTTGCAGAAAACCCAGCCGCGGCTCGCCAGCCAGACCGCAGGGCGCAGGGGGTGGCGCCGGGAATTATGGCAACGCTCAAAATAAAATAAAGCAGACGCTCGCCAGCCCCTCCCCCCCAACTCTGCCCCCAGTATTGCGCTCGGGTCGCGGGGCTGGGCGCTGACATGAATGTGCCGCCCGTGCAAAGACTGGGACAGGAGGTCTTTCAGATCTCCACCCGCCTCGGATGAGAAAAATAAAAGTAACGGGGCTGGGTGGGGGTGAGGAGAGCCGCCGGAGGAGAAAGGGGCAACCGGCACTTAAGCCCGGGTCTTCAGTGCGCGGCCGTGGGGCTCAAAGACGCAAACTCCCGGAGCCGGGAAGCTCCAGGGTTCCACCAGGTGAAGCCAAAATTGATCTGATTTGGTTTTGAACATCCGCAGGGGGGAAGGGGAGGCCCGCGGCGGGAGGGCAGGTGTATGTGTGTGTGTGTGTGCGCGCGCGTGTGCGTGTGCGCGGGGGTGGGGAGCGCCCAGGCGCAGCCTGCGCGCCGCTCTGCGCCTCGGCGGGGCTGCGTGCGTGTCCCTGTCCGCGCTGCTGGAACGGGCTCTTCGAGGGATCGGCGTCACATGACTCCGCCTGCCCCTCGCCAGCGCGCAGATCGCCGGTCCATCAATTGGCCCCGCGCCTGGGGAGGGTCGGGTGGCGTCTCCCCGGCCTCAAGGCTCTGCAGAGTAGAGCGGGGAAGGGTAGCTCTGGATTCCAGGAGTCTCGGTTCGGCGCTGGACCCTGGAGTGTAGATATTTGGGAGGGGGAAGGGAGAGAGAGAGAGAGAGGGAGGGAGCGAGCGAGCGAGCGAGCGCCAGAGAGAGGCAGCGCGCGGCGCGCACGGACGGGGGGCTGCTGGGTGCCGCGCGGAGATGTAAGCGCTGGGGTCTCGCTGGCCTCCGAGCACCATGCAGAAGGGGATCCGGCTGAACGATGGCCACGTCGCGTCCCTGGGGCTGCTGGCGCGCAAGGACGGCACTCGCAAAGGGTACCTGAGCAAGCGGAGTTCGGACAACACAAAATGGCAAACCAAGTGGTTCGCGCTCCTGCAGAATCTGCTCTTCTACTTCGAGAGCGACTCGAGCTCGCGGCCCTCGGGGCTCTACCTGCTGGAGGGCTGCGTCTGCGACCGCGCGCCCTCCCCCAAGCCGACGCTGTCGGCCAAGGAGCCGCTGGAGAAACAGGTGAGGCGAGCGCCGCGTTCTGACCTCCCCGCGCCCGGAGTCTCGGGGCTGGGGGCCTGCGGTCGGCCCGATGGCACCCGAACTTTGCGCCCCTGCGCTTCCGGCGCCCCGGACGGGGAGGGAGGGTCGGCCCAAGCCGCGCAGGTGACCCTGCGGCGGGCAGCGGGGGCAGGGACCGCGGGCGGGGAGTAGGCGCTGGCTGCGGCTGCCCTTCGTCCCCGAGAGCCCCGGGGGAGGCGGGGACAAGAGGGGCCGAGACCGGGAGATGCTGATGCCGACGGGGCGCGAAGCACCAGTAGAGGCGTTGAGTCTGGACCCACGTCCAGCCAAAAATGAGGCTCCCAACCCCCACCCTCACCCCCTCCAGTCCCGATGGCCCCCGACCGCCTGCCCTGGACCCGGACGGTGTGGTTCTCCGCGCCCGGGCAAGCGGACGGTGAGACGGGGGCGTCCTGGCGCCGCGGCCCCTGCCTGCCCGCGGCTGGAGCCAAAGAGCAGCCAGCGCTAGCTCGGCGGAGTCGGGGGCTTGCGGGGCCGCAGGGGTCGGTGCCGTGCCATCGAGTGGCCCTGGGCTCCCAGCCCGCCCGGAGCCGGAGCAACAAACCCGGAGGGGTCCCAAGGAGCGCGGTGACGCGCAGGGCTGGGGCCAGGGCCGCTGCGGAGGTGGCAGGGCAGGTGGGCGCCTCTCTCCTTCCCCGCCCCTGCGCCGCCGCCGCCGCAGTCGCGGCTCCAGCGCTGCGCGCGCGTTTCCGGAACTACACTGCTAAAGGGTCTGCGCGGGGCCGGACTGGGGCGCGCCCTTGGAGTGGGGGAGGAGGGGCACCTGCCGCCGCCGCCGAGGGGGAACCGAGACCGCGAGACCGAGAGCCGCAAGCCTGGGGCGCTGTCCAGAGGTATCCAGTGCGGGCCCCTGCTCTGGGAAGGCAAAGTAAATGCCAGTGCAGGGAGACACCTGACATCCAAGGGCCCCAGCCTGCTGGGGGCTGCCGAGAGTGGGGGACGCTGGAGCCCAGGAAGAGAGGGAAGCAGAGAGAGAGGCACTTTCCCAGGGCCACACCAGGTTCTGAGAGGAAGCCCGGGACATGGAAAGCCATTGCTGCGGGTGCGGAGCGGCAGGGTTGAACTGATGGACATAAAAGCATCGCTGGGCGCCTGGTACCCGACACCAGGGCAGGAGTCTAAGCCCAGGCTCTTCCTGCCTTGCCCTCAGCCCCCGGGCGTGGGGAGGTGGTGTCAGGGGGGCCGGAAGTCGTGGACAGAAGTGTTTGGGGGTGGGTGGGTCCCTGGGGAGAACAAGCCAGGGGGCAGGTGCATCCAAGAGCAGGTGGCTCCTCACCTTGAAGCCCAGATAGAGCCTGTGGCCCAGGCATGGCTGGCAACAGTGCCCTCAGCCCTGACAACTTGCGCCTCTCCAGCCAAAGTCCACGTGTCCGGACCAGTGGCCTACAGCCCGTTAGACCAGCCAGAAGCCCCTTCACCCCTCAGCCCCTACCCCAGAGGCTGAGAACCACCTCTGGGCGGGAGGAAGGAGGCTGGGGCAGGTGTGTTAGCAGTGCCCTGGGGCTGAATCTCTGCTCTCTGGCTTGCTGTGTGACCTCGGTTAACTTGCAAACTTCTCGGTGCCTCCACTTTGAAATCGTCAGCACAGAGCTGCTGCCCCTGACCTTGCTGTGGTTTTGAGACCAGGAGGGGACGTGACCATATGCTTGCCGTGCGTTTCAGTTGGGTGCAGATGGATCGTAGTTGGTTTCTGAATGACACTCACCCAGGCAGGATTGTTCAGGTCACTGGGTGTTGAGGCTTCCTCCCATTTCACAGAGAGGGAAACTGAGGGGCGGGGCGGGAAAGGCAGGAGTCCAGCACCAGGGCAAGGCAGCGGCACGAGCAGACTAGAGCTCACCCAGTGTCTGAGCTCAGGAACTGAATCGTGGGGGTGGGGGTCAGAACCAGTGGACAAAACGCACGCATGATCAGAGCTGGGTCCCCGCAACACTAGCGCCGGGACCTCAAGCCTCTTCCCAAGGGCAGCCCGGCCCGGGACTGGAGATCGCCTCCTGCCCTGGTGTGGGCGTTCCCTTTACCTCTAGAGCACCTGTGGCTCATGGGGAAGCGGATTCTGCCCTTTTGGCCTGTATGTGTGTTGAAAAAAAAAATCCCAACTCTTTTCCAAGCATTGGAGCAAAATGGATGGCTGACCCTAACCCTGTCTCTTGGTGAGCTGGCATGAGCGGCCTGGAGCCAGGCCCTTCTGGTACCATGTATGGGCCCACAGGGCATGTGAGTGGCAGAGGGCCTCAAAGAAACTGCCGGTTTGGGGGAATTTGTGAGTGTATGGGGAAGGCTTGCTTTTAGCGAGATGTCTTTATTTTTTAAGATTTTTTTTTATTTACTTGAAAGTCAGAGTTACAGAGAGAGGAGGAGGAGGAGGAGAGAGAGAGAGAGAGAGAGAGAGGTCTTCCATCTACTGGTTCACTCCCTAAATGGCCACAATGACCAAGGCTGGACCAGGCCAAAGCCAGGAGCCAGGAGCTTCTCCCAGGGACCCAAGCACTTGGGCCGTCTTCTGCTGCTCCCTCGGGTCATTAGCAGGTAGCTGGATCGGAAGTGGAGCAGCCAGGTGTCAAACCAGAGCACATATAAGATGCCAACAATGAAGGCAGAAGCTTAACCCGCTATGCCACAGCACCAGCCCCAGGATGTCATTTTTAAAAGGATTTATTTAGTTAGTAAAAGGAGGAGAAAGAGATGTCTCTTCCATTCACTCATTAACTCCCTCAATGGCTGCAATGGCCAAGGCTCATCCAGGAGCCAGGAGCTTCTTCCAGGTCTCCCACTTGGATGCAGGGGCCCAAGGACTTGGCCCATCCTCCGCTGCTTCCCCAGGCGCATCAGCAGGGAGCTGGGTCAGAGGCAGAGCAGCCGGGACTTGAACCTTTGTTCTGACATGAGATACCGGCATCGAAAGCAGCCGCTTAACCTGCTGCACCACAGCGCCAGCCCCCAAGATGTCATTTTTACCCAGGTCCAAGCAGGCAGCTTCCTCCTGGAATGGCTGGGGATGGTTCCTGAAGGCACAGAAGCCAGATCCTGCCTGGGAACCTCCCCCCGCCCCCAGTGGCAGGGACAGTGTCAGGGACGTAGCACATAGTCGAGGCACAGGAAATGCTTGTGGAGCTGGACTTGGTGTAGCAGGTGTGAACTTCACGTTGCCCGTGCTGAGAGCTGTCTGGGCTGTGTGCTGGGCTGAAGAAGCTGACCCCCACAGGCCCTGCAGCCTGGGGAAGCAAGAGCCAGACAAGGGTAGGCACCAGGCAATGGAAAGACGTGGAGAGTGGGACGTTCAGGGCACTGGGGCACCGAGCGCCAGACCCATCCTACCATGGTGCAGCCTCTCCTGGCCACCTCCAGAGGACCCTGCCTGCTGCTGCTGTGGCTACAGCACCCAGGGGCTCCAGGCTGAGCTGCCGAGGCCTCCCGCCGTCGGACTGGCACAGCCATGCCCCGCAAACCCCCTGGCCTGGGACCCTGCTTGCTTATTCCTGGCTTCCCCTGGCCCTGATGCTGTTGCACACTCCCTGGAGGCCCGATGGCCATGCACTTGAACTTGGGGTCCAGCTTCCCTACAGGTTGGCCTTGGTGTCCCAGCCCCTGCTTGGGCATGAAGTCCCCCCTTGCTGGCTGTTCCAAGTTCCCTGGCATAAGGCTTCCAGTCCAGCTTTGCAGTCGGGGGGCCTGATCAAACCCACCCTCAGCTCTCCCTCACCCCTCCCAGCTCGGAGAGGTCACAGTGTGGACCCCGGCATCTTCCTGGGTCACTAAAGACAGGAGAGACACAGATCTCTGCGGCCAGAGTATCGGGGCCTGGTGTGGGCAGGAGGCCCGGATGCTTGGGGCCTCGTTGTTCCTGTTGTCCACCCCATTGTTACCCTTCCCTGAAGGCCAGACAAAGGTCCACTCCCCGGCCTCACAGGATGGACACGTGACCGCTCTGGCTGGCGAGTTGAGACCACCAGCAGCCCTGAGGCTGGAGTGTACCCATTTGACAGATGAGAGGAGGGTCTCAGCAGTGGCCACCAGCCAGGCACTCGCAGAAACAAAACTGCTTCTCTGGCTGTCTCGCCATGCAGCTGGGCCACGGTGTCCACGGAGCACACGGCCCAGGGACCCGGCTCTTGCAGGGGCTCTCAGCCCAGCAGAGAGCGGTGCCCCCCACAAAAGCCGCTGTTGGAGCAGCACGGCTTAGATGCGGGGCCAGCTCAGACTGCAGGGCAAGCCAGCCAGGTGCCCGCGGCAGGTGTGGCGCCCAGGATTAACCGCGTGGGGTGCTGCTTCTCTCCCCAAATGCTCCTCCAGCTGGCGAGAGGTTGAGGAGGCCCGGAACAGAGTGCGCATTGTGTGTTCACACAGTAGATGCTCCGGCTCTCAGAGCCAGGCCTGTGTCGGGTTCTGCAGATGGAAGAGAACTTAGTCCCTGTTCTCCAAACCGCTCCCAGAGGAGGGACGCGCTCTCCTCCAGTCTGGCCCGAGCTGATCCTCCATCCTGAAGACTCTCAGACTCCCCACCCCCAACACACACACACACTCACACACACATACACACATACACTCACACACTCACACATACACTCACATACACACTTACACACTCACATACACACACACGCATACACTCACACGCACACATACACTCACACATACACTCACACTCACACATACACTCACACACACACTCACACACATACACTCACATACACACACTTACACACTCACAGACTCACAAACACACATACACTCACACACTCACACACTCACACACATACACTCACATACACACTTACACACTCACAAATACACACACACATACACTCACACACTCACATACACACACACGCATACACTCACACACACATACACTCACACACATACACACACACTCACACACATACTCCCGCCCTTCTTTGGCCCAGGTGCTCCCAGGTCCTGTCATTCCCCTCCCCCAG